AAACTGATAAAGGTTAATATCAGAATAAAACATCCAATTCTCCAAATTGCAGAAGTACAAAGAAAATTATAAATCCACAATTTCTCCAGGTCTCTCTTTTGTCAATTAGGACATTAATGGGGGAATGATTGGGACCCTGTTAATTAGAATGGCAAAATACCAGTGGAATTAGAAAAATCTCAGAGCCTTTAACCCTGAAATCTCCATTAACCCTTTTTGCTTTCAGAAGCAGCTCCTCCTCCCCCGAGGAGACTAGCTTTCCCTAAATTGAAGACCCTATGGTGACTCTACCTGGGCAGTTGTATTTTTTTTTTAAGAAAGAGTGAGAGAGGAGAGGAGAGGAGAAAAGAGGGGAGAGAGAGAGAGAGAGAGAGAGAGAGAAAGTAGTCAAGGGCAAGATACACCCTTCAATGACCCATCTCTTCCACCTGGGCCCCATTTTCTTAAAGTCTCACCAACCCCCACACAATGGAATATACACAATACTCAGCCATAAAGAGAAAGGCTGAATGTTCTCTCTGATATGCAGCTGCTAACACACAATAAGGTGGGGTGGGGAAGAATAGAAGTTCACTGGATTGGACAGGAGGGAAGGAAGGGAAGGAAGGGAGCATGAGAATAGGAAAGACAGTAGAATGAATCTGACATTCATTTCTTAGGTTCATATATTCTTATATGACCAATGAAATTCCACATCATATACAGCTGCAAGAAAGAGAAGTTATGCTCTGTGTATGTATGATATGGCAAAAAACATTCTGTTGTCATGTATAACTAAAGAGAACAAATAAAAATATTTTTTAAATGTTTTTTCTATAACAGCCATTCTACAACTCCATAAGCTGTAGATAACTGAGTACAATTTTGCAAAGGAAATCTGGTGTATAGACAGGTAAGTTCTGCCCTGTGGGTAGTCTTTTCTCCCTCCTCAACTATGGAGGGTGCTGGTCTGGTCTCTCTTTTCACATCCTTTTGAATACTCTGAATCCTCAAATATGTCTATTCTTTGGATTCTCTTTCAAACCAGTGATAGCATCTACTTAGCTCCTTCATTGATTAGTAACACAAAGTCTTTTACATGAGTTAATTTTTATGTGTCTTTGAAAGTCATGGTTTACTGTTTGTAAAATTAATTTTTAACAACAACAATTACTACTACTATTATTTTTACAACTACCACAGATGCTATACTATAAAATTAACAGAAGGGGTTTGGTTATCAAACATTCATCATATTCTTCAAATTGGGTAACTATTTTTCTTGCACTAGCTCATCTCATTTTTGCAAAAACCTAAGAGGTAAATAAATCCTGTTATTATCTCTTTACACATAAAGAAGCTGAAGCCCAGAGAGGTTAATGAACTTAAACATGATAACACAGCTAGCACCATGCCTAGACCTTAACATCCAAATGAATCTGATTCCAGAACTCCTATTCTTAGTTGCAACACTATATTGACTTTCAGCAGAACACCATTTAAACTAAATTATTCCCTCTGCTGGGGAATGGAAGCAGAAATACTACTTAGAAAAAAAGTTGGGCCTTATAAATCAAACTGATATTTTGTAGCCTTTCATTATCTGACTGTATTTATGTCTATCCTGAAATATAAATTGAATCTAGAAAAAGAGGCAGGATGGTCAAGACAAAAAGAGGCACATGGTCAAGACAATGAAGTTGAATCTATTTAACTCTCCCTGAGTATGTTTATTAGTTTTAATCATTATACTAAAAATATTTTGAATTCCAAAAGTATCATGACTCTAAATGATATGGTTTAAATATACAAGAAAAAAATATTTTCGAAGGGCATTAAGAAGAATATGGATGCTAGCTATCAAGAGCTATTTTCTAATTTCCTTTATTATTATTTATTAAAAATCCAGATTAGACAAGATCACCAAGTCTGATAAAAATACAACTAGACTGAATGTAGATGCACCATTTCTCACCCAACAGAGATACTTTCAAAAGGATATTTGTAAACATTTTTACACAGTACAATAATATGCAGCTTGCTGACATTCTTATACATCCCTATTAAGAGGAAAATAATTGTGTTGCCTGATTAAAAACCCATCTTTTGGACTTTTATCTTTGCATTTCTTAACTTTATCAAATTTATTCATCCTCTGGATTTATATTCTTTTTTTTTTTTTTGTAACTGATCACCTTTACTTAGGTCAGGGTCATTGTACCCTGAATCTTTGCATTCAGAGTCAGTAATATAAAGACCTCAAAGTGACATGGTAATGGACATGGTAGTGGCGAGTCATATTTTCAAGTTCAGCCACACCCCTACCTGTCACCCATTGGGAACATTCCCCCACTGAGAAGTGGGACCTCTAACTCAGCAGAAGTTGAGGTTGAGGTGATGGAAAACACAAATCCACATGGATTCGTAACTAAGAATGAGAATGAGCAAGGAGAACACTGCCACCATCCCTAGGTTCCCTGACCCAGGAGTTCTAGCTATCAGGTGACCCAGCATCAGCCCCAAAGTTCCAGGTACATTGTGCACTTTGCCAAGTGTTGGCCCCGGGCACATTCGGAGCATTTCCTACGTCTGCCTTCTCAACCACAAAATCACTGTTCATCAGGAGTGATGAATTCTGCCTCCCCAACTTTTCTTAAACTTGCCCTCAGGAACACAGTCTTGTTTCAAGTTCTTATCATCTACTACTTAGAACTTACTATTCCTTCCCAACCCATTCTTTTGCTCTTTGTGTTTATTTTCAGTGATGCCAATGTTAAGCATGCTCTGTATGAAAAGGATCCAGCTGACCTATTTCCAGACCTTCCTTTGGCCCTGCTTTGAAACCCCGTTGACTCTCTACGGCCACCTTACCCATTCCTTGCCTCAGCTGTGGCTAGAGCCGGCTCTTCCAACTGGACCACTGGCCTCACTTTCTGCTTACTTTGGCTGCATTTTTTAAGCGTTTTAAATCCTCTCTCTGGTTACACTGCTGGAGTTGCCCTAGTCTGGTCTGGACCCGGGCTGG